AGCCAGGGGAGCAAGCCAGTAAGCAGCATTCCTCCACAGCCTGTGCTCCAGCTCCTGCCTCCAGGTTCCTGCTCTGAGTTCCTACCTTGGGCTCCTGGATGAACTGTGACCTGGGAGATGTAAGACAAATAAACCCTTTCCTCCCCAAGTTGGTAGTGGTCAGAGTGTTTTGTCACAGCAATGAAGAAACAAACTAAGACACTTGGGCTCATTTTGGTTGATTTGAATTGCTGTCAACCTGATTTTCTTTTGCATCAGCCTCAGCTATATAGCAAATTCAAGGTCAGTCTGGGCCACATGAGACCTTATCTCAGAAAAAAAAAAAAATCTTGCCCCATGTGGTAGTGCTCGTCTTTAATCCCAGCACACAGGAGGAAGAGGCAGTCAGATCTCTATGAGATCAAGGCCAGCCTCATCTACATAGCAAGTTCCAGGTCAGCTAGGCTACAGGGAGACCCTGTAATCCTAACACTTGGGAGATGGAAGCAAGAGAGTCAGTTCAGCGAATCCTGAGCTACATATTAATTTAAAAGCCAGGCTGGGCTACATGAAACCCTGTCTTAAAAAGATGAGAAGAGAGGAAAGGAAAGGGGAGGGGAAGAAAGAAAGAGGAGGGAAGGAAAAAAGAAAGAAGGGAAAAGCTTTTAATCTCAGCACTTGGAAGTGCTCCTGCCTTAGTCTTTTTTTAATATTTATTTTTATCTTATGTGTATGAGCGTGTGTGTAAGTGCACACCTGTCATGCATGCCCTCAGAAGGCAGAAGAAGGCACTGAATTCCCTTGGAACTGAAGTTACTAACAGTTGTTAGTTGCCATGTGGGTACTGGGAATCAAACCCAGGCCCTCTGCAAGAGCAGCCGGTGAGTGCCCTTAACTGCTGAGCCATCTCTCCAGCCCTGAGCAGTCAGTGCTCTTAACCACTGAGCATCTCTCCAGCCCTACTGCCTTAGTCTTTGCAGTAGTTAGAATTACAGGCCTATGCCACCAGGCTGCTTTATCACTTTTTAAATTTTAAGTGTGTGTGTGTGTGTGTGTGTGTGTGCGTGTGCCTGGAAGCTAGAGGTCCATATCAGGTATCTTCCTCAATGGCTTTCTACCTCATTTTTCAGACAAAATCTCTCACTTGACCTGGACCTCACCAACTCAGCTAGACTGGCTGTCCAGTAAGCTCCAAGGATCCTCCTGTCTCCTCCAGTGCTGGGATTACAGGTGTGCACTGATAGCACCGGGCTTTTACATAGATGCTGGAGACTGAACTTGGGTCTTCATGCTTGCTCTGCAAGGATTTTACTGACTGAGGCATCTCCCCAGCTCCATTTACCATTTTTTATTTTATTTTTTAATTTTTTTTCTTTTTTTGGTCTTTTTGAGACAGGGTTTCCCTGTATCCCCAACTGGCCTGGAACTCGCTGGAGGCTAGAGGTCCATATCAGGTATCTTCCTCAAGGCTGGCCTTGAACTCACAGAGATCCGCCTGCCTCTGCCTCCCCAGGGCTGGGACCAAAGGCATGCCCCACCATGCCCGGCTCCATTTACCACTTTTTAAAAAGCATATCTGAAGAGGACTGGCAAGATGGCTCAATTAGTAAAAACACTAGCTGTGCAAACCTGATAACCTAAGTTCAATACCCAGATCCCACAGTAGAGGGAGAAAACTGGCTACCGAAAGCTGTTCTTTGACTTCCACAAGCACACTGTGGCACATGCGCACACAGAGCAAACAAAATATGTTTTTAAAGTATATGAAGATATAAAATATTCACTCCATATTTTTCTTTTGTTTTGTATTTTTTAAAAAGTTTCCCAGGGCTGGAGAGATGGCTCAGCAGTTAAGGCCACTGACTACTCAGGCCTGGAAAGATGGCTCAGTGCTTGAGAACACTGGCTGTTCTTGCAGAAGACCCGGGTTCAAGTCCCAACACCCACATGGCAACTAACAACTGTCTATAACTCCAGTTCCAGGGGATCCAACAGCATCTTCTGTCCTCAGTGGGCATTACTGTCCTCAGTGGGCATTCTGTCCTCAGTGGGCAGGCAATACACACATACACATAAAAATATTAAATAAAATATTTTTTTTAAAAAAGAGCACTGACTTCTCTTGCAGAGGATCCAGGTTTGATTCCTAGCACCCACACGGCAGCTAATAACTGTCCATAACTCCAGTTCCAAGGGAATTCAATGCCTTCTTCTGCCTTCTGAGAGCATGCATGACAGGTGTGCACTTACACACACACTCATACACGTAAGATAAAAATAAATATTAAAAAAAGACTGGTCTCCATGGTCATTGCATGACACAGGTGCACTTACACACATACAGGCAATACGCTCATACATTTTTTATTTTAAAATAAAATTAAAAAATAATAAAATTAAAAAACAAAACACAGTTTCCTTACATAGCCCAGGCTGCTCTCAAACTCAAGACCCTCCTTCCTCAGCCTCTAAATGGAGGGCCTGTAGGTATGTGTGCCACGCCCAGCTTCACCCTATGCTTCCAATTGCAAATTGCCTTTCCATCTCCCTTCTCTGCTTTATTTTTCATTATAGGGCATACTGCCATCTAAAATATTATTTATTTTATTTTCATGTGGTCTGTCTCCTTGCACTCAGGATATAAGCCCCATAAGGATTGAGATTGTGTCTACTTTATATACAGCTATATCCTCAGTGCTTAAAACATTGGTAACACATAGTGGGCCCCTCAATGTATACTCACTTAATGAATTCAAGAAGAAATGAATTCTTGCACCTTAGGAAAAAAATATTTGCATTTTGACTTCTCTTTTACAGATTTTTAAAAATCTTTATACATATACAAATACCTATATACAGAAATAAGCACAAATGCATATTTTATAAATTTTCACAGAAATGAGAGCATGATGTATTTATTCTTCAACACATGATGTGTTTTTCTTCAGTTACCATATCACAAACATCT